CCGCCTGGATGAGAACAACTTTTGGGAAAGCAAGGAAATGTGAAATTAAATGGAAACGTCAGCTCTACTCATATCATCACCTTCAAAGAAATAGGGTGAATACATCTCATATTACTGTATTTATAGCCTGGCATTGTATATGGGAGCGTTTGGTCAAACTAAAATGCTCGAAATAGCAGGCAACTATGAGTATATAAATAAAAAACAACTTGATCATCCATGATAAATCCTTGTCCACATAAATTAATTATGTTCTTAATTATGGCGTAAGCAGACGTCAAGTCTACTTGACTTTCCAAGGTCTGGTGTGTGAGCCCAATACTAGATTTCGTAAACGAAATTAAAACTTTTCTAGCAATTTACTGATACCTTGTTTCTTGGTCAATTATTAGTTGACCCTTTGGACACATTACAGCCAATTTCGTCAGCTAATTAAAGCTCTATCTTCAACTTTTGTTGCAAAACAGTATTTCCCTGTAATGTGCATCTATGGCAATACCGTATAAAATAGCTGATTTAATGAATACGGTCTGGTATTAATAATTATTTGAGAAAAATAAAATCATTTAGGCTCCGCAATCTAAATTATTTTTGCATTTTATAAATAAATATATATATATATAAATGTTCGCAAATACAATATTTCAAGATTACTAGCATCTTACATAATTGCATTGAAAAGTGGTGATTCTGCTGAATCCTTGCTGATAAGTGGTCAAGGCACCAAAGGTCATGGGTCTAACCAAACTTTTTGACATGATAGAATAGGGCCCCTATACCTAAATATTATCAATGATCTCATTAAAAAATATATATATGATGTTTTCGCATCAGAAAAGTGGGGCTCGAAACTCATGAGGGGAGAATGATATTTTGGCCGTAAAGTTTTGCATCCTTGCAGAACAAGTTGTTTATGGAAAACTGAATTAGTTCCTTCTACTCGTTCCTGAGGTGCCAACTTTCCTAAACAAGGCCTATTTCAGTGCCTGGTATCTTAGGGACGCTCAAACATTAAATTGTTATTTCTTTCGTTTATAAGTCGGGTTCGAGACTACCAATAGATCGAATATATAAAATGCACTCATCCTATTTCGTTTAAGGTGATGAAGGACATGTAGTTGAATTTGCCTACAATCATATGAGTATGCCTTACGTTTCCGTTGAATTTCACACAGACCTACTTCCCAAAAGGTTTCCTCATTCAGACTGCCAAGGCTGCGGTTTCGACCTCACATTCATCAGTACCCTCAGCAGGACTCGAACCCTTGCATATCAGCGTATTTAACGTGCTGAGGTGAGGTCGAAATTACAGACAGCTTTGGCTGAGAATACCTTTAAGAAAGCAAGGCTATATGACATTCCACGAAAACGTAAAGCTTATTCATATCATTTTGGGAAAATTCAACTACCAGGCCTTCATCACAATAAATGAAATAGGGTGAATACATCTAATATATTTAATCATAATAGCCTTGAAAATAAACTTTATGTTTTGGAGTCACTTGATAGACTCATCTAATTATAGCTTACATTTAGTTCTAAAAGGCGGGTCTCACCAGAAACCCAAGTAGGATTAGCTCTTTGAGCTGTAATCATGACTTTGCTTGAAGATGTTCTTTCTAGTTTTATTGTTTTGGTGAGTTTTCGAAAAGAATGATTTCTGTTTTCTACTATGTCTGTGACAAATCAGAATAGCTAAGGTGACAGGACGGGATTGTGAACATTTTACAATAAAACTAGATGCACAACTCTAAGGCAATCGGATGGGCCCGATTTGGGGATCCCTGTCACGCAACTTTTTTATGTAAAGTGTAAGGTAAAACAACATGTAATCTCAAGTGCAAAAGGAAACTATGGTGCTCTAGTTGACCACACATTTGAGGATTGGGAACAGAGGGAATCATGGTCAACTCACCGGGACAGAAATGAAACGCGTTGCAGAGGATTCCAGAGCTGCCGCTATCTCCGTCTCCGGCCCACGAGGTATGACAAAGTGTCCTTCTGGGTCGTCCCACCACGATCTATGTTCTGCAGACCCAGTGCCTTGAAGACTGTCCTCCGATTGGTCTACGGGCTGACTGACTGACTGACTGGCTAACTGACTGACTGGCTAACTGACTGAGTGACTGAGTGACTGAATGAATGAATGAATGAATGAATGAACGAATGAATGAATGAATGACTGATTGACTGACTGGCTGACACAGTGACGAATGGGCAAAAGGGCCTGTAGGAGTTAAATGAATATGCCCGCACATCCTCAGCCCCAGGTTGTCAGGTCGCTATTCGCCTTGGCACCAAATTCTCAGGCCAGTCTCTGAGGGCGAGGCGAAGAAACACCCTGATTCAATTGGACCGACATGGAAGGCAGGTTGAAAGTCAGACAGCCAGGCTAGCAGACAGAGGGACAGGCGAATCTCGAAACCCCACCGACGTACCCATGTACAAGGGACAGAAGACGAGCCAGCCAACGGAAATTCAGACAGACAGACATCATACTGCTCGGGCGGGTCAGATGTAGAGTCGTGCCGAAGGTGGTATCATCATCACATCATTTGTACCATCACGTCGGTAGGTCACCAGCTTTTCAGCTAACCTCGTACTGATACTTCAGTAGTCAGGAGTACGGACAGCGAATTCCGCCCATGGAGCGCCTATCGGAGGGAAAGGGTATTAGACTGGCAATAGACGATTGTGGAGGAGACTATGGTAACAGTAGGAAGTTGTAGAGATGGCATGTGACTCAGACCTTAGAGACCATAAGTCCAGGTGCAGTGCCTAGCATCCGAGTCCTGTCAAGTTGACGAATGCCTCGAGGACCTCATGTGGACAGGTACCTAAAATATTTGAGTTGTAATCGCCCTATTTCGCTTGAGTTGTTGAAGGACTGGTAGTTAAATTTTGCCACAATGATATAAGTAGAGCTGACGTTTCCATTGAATTTCACATAGCCTTGCTTCTCCAAAAGGTGTGGACTGCAGGTTAACTACAGTTTCAACTTCGCCTAGGTCTCATCAATGAAGGAGTTGAAAATTCACTCAAAAACGAAAAAATTTACATCCATTGATGCAACCCATCAACGCGTTCTCATGCTCTCTGTTTCTAAAGATATGCTGATGAAATATATGAAATTCAGCTTGATTTGAAAAGAGCTTTCTGGCTGTCAAAGCCTAACCAACTCGAAGTAATGAGGCAAAAAGGTACTCTCTATTCGAAAGAAAATTGAGCCTCCAAGCCTCTGAATAATTAAGATTGAAGCCTGGGGTTCGTCGATTGACCTCGATGTATGATAGGCATGTTAACATCTATAGAAGAGGTTTTCTCTGCACATACACGTATGAATGTCCCGGTAGTATCGTTCCCCAAAATAGAGATATGAGATGTATTCACCCTATTTCGTTTAGGGTGATGAAGGACTGGTAGTAGAATTTTCCCACAATGATATGAGCAGGGCTGACGTTTACACTGAATTTCACATAGCCTTGCTTTCCCAAAAGTTGCTCTCATCCAGGCAGAAGTGGATTGCAATTTCGACCTCGCATCAGTCTAATCAACACCCCCAGTGGGAGTCGAACCGTGACGGTGCAGAATATGAGCTTGAACGTTAACCACTTGGCCACATTGCCACGAGTGCCCTTGGGTCACAGAGCAGATGTGAATGTCGAGGAAGGCCAAGTCTTTTCCCATATCACATTATTTTGTGAGATTGTTGATGAGACAAATGCATTTTTGCTATAAAAATCGACTACATTACTTATTTTTTGTATGTAAGTAGAATTTTGAGACTACCAGTAAATCCGTCTCAAAACTCTACTTAATAGCAAAATAGAAGTAGTCTGACCTAATTTCCGAAACTTGGTCGGGTTGTCAGGACGACCTAGATGAACACACCTTGTCCAGAGTCCATGAATCGAATCGGATCCATGATTATATTTATCGCCTTACCATCTTTTTCTTACTACCGAGATTTT